AACAAGTGGAACACATGAAGCAATACAAACAGTGACACTGGAGAGATGATGAAGAGTTTCCTTAACGAACTCAAAGCTATGTTTTCACAACTAATAAATCAAAATAGCGTGATCTTAAACATGCTTTCCGCAGTAATAAATAAACTCAGTAATGGAACTTAAGTCACTACGAATTGCACAATGGAATGTCAACGGCCTAGGCAACCATAACACAGAAGTTACTAACTTTCTTGGACAGAAAAAATTGATGTTCTACTCATATAGAAAACCCATTTCACTGACAGCACGATGTTCAAGATCCCTCATTACTCTATTTAGAATACCAACCATCCTGATGGAACAGCACACGGTGGTGCTGCTATTATTGTACGTAACACCATACCACACTATGAGAAAACAATGTATCAGACGGAAAATACAAGCTGCAGTAATTTGTATTAGTTCTCAACCACAGTCTTTTAACATCGCGGTAATGTACAGCCCTCCAAGGCATAATATTACCACAGCAGAATATGAAGACTTATTTAAACATCTATCAAACAAATTCTTAATTGGATGTGACTGGAATGACAAGCATACACACTGGGGGGTCGAGACTATGTCGGACAAAGGGAAAAAATCTCAGACAAGCCATAGCTAACACAAACAGCTCCTACTTATCCACAGGACAACCCACCTACTGGTCATCAAATCCAAACAAAACACCAGATCTACTCGACTTCTTTATCCTTCATAGCATGGCCTTAAATTATTTTGACATACAACCATCCTGGGATCTGTCCACCGACCATACTCCCATAATTGTAACACTATCTACGCAAATTACAAAACGTCCGAATATCTCTAAGTTGACATCAAAGACCAACTGGAATGTACTCGAGTCTCACATAAATGAAAGTTTAAATTTAAATATAAGATTAAAGCAACCAGACGATATCGATAATGCTGTACTTCTCACCAAAACTATACATGCAGCCGCAGAAATAGCGACACCCCCTCAGAATGACAAAGAACCAAGTGACACCAATATACCCGTATATATAAAACTTGCACTTATGGCGCATATGGCAAAGAAGTCGCAATCCTATAGACAAAAATGAATACAATAGATTAACACAGCAACTTAAAACTGCTCTACAAGACGTGAGGAATGATACATTTAAACTATTCATCAACAGCTTGTCAAAAGAAGACCACAGCATCTGGAAAGCAACGAGATCATTCAAGAGACATACACAGCATATACCACCTCTAAGGAAAGACGATGGAAGCTGGGGAAAAACTGAACAAGAAAAGGCATCCATCTTTGCGGCACATTTCTCACACGTTTTTGGTGCACCTGAACTTAATAACCATAATAACAAAGAACAAGTTAAAATCTTCTTAGACACTCCATGTCCAATGATGCTAACAATCAAATGCTTTACTCCTAATAATGTAAAAGAACAAATTTCTAGATGCAATAACTACAAAGCACCAGGCTTCGACATGATCATTGGGCTAATATTAAAAAAATTACCGAGAAAAGCAATTGTCCTACTAAAAATAATATGTAATAGTGCCTACTACCCGATTAGTTGGAAGGTCGCACAAATAATTATGATAAGTAAACCAAATAAACCACCAAATACTATTACTTCATATAGGCCAATCAGCTTACTTCCAATTATGTCAAAAATCTTAGAAAAACTTCTGCTCCAAAGAATCTCAGATGATATCGAAATTAATTCAGTGATCCCAAACCACCAATTTGGTTTCCGCGAAGCCCATTTAACTCTACAACAGTATCATAGGTTTGTAAAAAACATTAATGTATGCCTCGAAGAAAAAAAAATTGCACTGCTGCCTTCCTGGATATAGAACAAGCTTTCGACCGTGTTTGGCATGACGGCCTTCTATATAAACTTAAGTCATTCTTTCTTACCCCTCACTATCTTTTTTTAAAATCATACCTCACAGAATGTTACTTTTAAGTCAGATTCCTTACAGAAACCTCTTATTACTATCCCATAAAATCCGTTGTCCCTTAAGGAAGTGTCGTGGGTCTCCTCCTGTACTTTATATACACTGCTGATGTCCCAACAACAAATTCGACCATAGTAGCCATGTTCGCAGATGACATCGCCATAATATCCATCGATGATGACCCCCATGTAGCATCAGGAAACCTTCAAATACACCTGAACCTAGTACAAGACTAAATGAATAGATGGAAAATCAAAGTTAACCATAATAAGTCTAATCAAATTACATTCACCAGTAGTAATATTATATGTCCAAGAATCAGACTGAACAATTAACTACTACCAGTAAAAAAAAAAGTCAAATATCTGGGCATGACACTTGATCAAAAGCTCACTTGGAAAGCACACATCTTGGCAAAAAAAATCCAAATCAACATGAAAATACGTCAAATGAGTTGGCTAATGGGCTGAAAATCACAGTTATCAACATATAATAAACTTCTATTGTATAGTGCATAAAGTGCGTAATAAAGCCTATATGGACATATGGAGTGCAACTATGGGGCTGTGCGAAGCCTTCGAATACCAAAATTATTCAGAGAATCCAATCCAAAATACTCAATGATTTTCAACGCACCGTGGTACGTTAGTAACAAAACACTGCATGATGACTCTGGTATACCGTTCGTTGAAGACGAAATCAGCAGACTAACAAGAAATTATTTAGAACATCTGCCACCCCACCCCAACGAGGAAGCAAGACAACTATACCTCCAACCAGAAGTCAGATGAAGATTAAAGAGACAGTGGCCAACAGACTTTATACACTAATTTCAATTTTAATTTTAATTTTCACTTCAATTTTAGTTTCAAATTATAATCCTACATTAATTTAATTTGTTAGTGTTAGTATTGGGAGTGTTATCAATGGATAATTTCTCCTCTCATGTATTTGCAATAATCACATTTACTAATAGCTTGTAATAGCAGGTTGTAAATTGGCAAATTTAATAAAAAAACAAGTAAGACAATGATATGATAAAAGACCGATTTATTCAACTTCGATCAAATTTACATTGTGTAAATATTTTGACCATCCCCAAAAACTGTACCGATAAGTTCTATAGAGTACGTCCTTTGTATGACGAGATTGAGAAACGATGTTTAGAGTTAAAGTTAGAAGAAAAACTATGTATTTATGAATAAATGTATACCATTTAAGGGCCATTTGCTTGTAATTTAATACTCATACAATACCCTAAGGAGTAAAAATTTTTATTCAACGCGGAAAGATCATCGCATATAATTTTGTTTTATACTAAGGCGCTTCTATTAGCTTAGATGCTCAGCTGCTAAAACAGTTTGGATTTGGTGCTTCAATAAGTCGTTATTTTACAGAAAGAATAAATAATGAAGGGCACAAGTTATATTTCGATAATTACGTTTCCAATTATCAACCTCTTTAAGTCTTAATATTAAAAAAATATTAGCAGCTGACACAATTCGAGGAAATTGGTTCAACAATCCATCTGTAAAAGCTGATAAATAAATATCAAAGAATAGTAGAGGAAATATAGATCAAGTAACAACTGAAGATGACGATGTAATTTTAGCCAAATGGATGGATAGTCGGAGTGTGCTTCTAGCTTCTAACTTTGGTGGAATTAAGTTATGAACGATGAGTTAAGTCATGAACCGACCGCGTTCAAAATGAAGAAGTCTTAAGGCGTATGAATAGAGAACGTGAACTCGCAGAAATTGTCAATAAGCGTAAAACGTCTTATCTTGGACACATATTTAGACACGACAGGTATAACTTCCTTCAGCTTACTACAGAAGGGAAAATAGAAGGCAGACGCGGCCTGGGTAGAGGGCAAATAACCTGGCTGCGCAAAATCAAAGATTGGCAGGATTACACTTTCAAAGTTTAATAAAGAAAGCCCAAAATAGGGAAGACTTTGCAGAGGTCATCGCCAACCTTCGCTAAGAAGACGGCACCCAAAGAAGAAGAAGAAGAATTTAAGCGGTGGGACAAGAAATAAAAAAGTATATGGATGTAGAAAGATCTAAGGGAGTAAAACGTTATAACCATTCGATGGGTCGCGGTAATCTATTAGATAAAATAAGCAGTGTAAACAGCATTTATATTTGTTCAAAAAAAAATGGACCCTTCGAATGAATTTTCATACCGTAGACTTGGCTGCAGTAAATAGTCAATTTGAATATCTACAAGAATGAAAGAATGAGGCATACTAAAACTTCCAAAAAAGGACCGTTTAATCTTTCTACATATCAAAATGAGGCTTGCTGAAAGTCTGATCAAGGCAAAACAAACCAGTTTCTCGCATCAAAAGGGGCAGGCCAAGTACTACAGCACGAAAAAATTAAAATATAATCCTAGATCCTAGACCAGTTCTCAATATGACTTCGATGACCATATACTCCAATTGGATGGAAACGAAAAAGGAAAAAGGTGTAAGCATGCCATTTGTAATAAGAAGACACAGTATATAAAAAAAGATAGAAACTGCTTTTCTTTTATTTACAGAAAATTATTTTTTGTGCATAATATTGCGCAGATATTTTTTTCCAAAGTAAATGAAAATTTAAAAAAATGTACATATAATATGACTTTTAGGACCACTGCCTACTACAAAAATGGTAAAAACGATTTTTTTGCTATATTAGTTAGTTTCAGAACCTTTATCAGAAGAGTTTTCACTATTATAATTTCACAGAATAAATTATTTCAAGACTGCACTAACTGATACTAAATATAATAATGAATTTAGTGATTTGGACCCACAAGTACCGAAGTCTCTGATCAATGAATATTTTAGTGCAGTGACAAAATATCTACTCAACCAAATTATATGAGATTTAAACCGAAAAGTCACCTAGAAATGTCGAAAAACCAGAAGAGCAAAAGATTTTAAAATATACAAATAAAAATTAATAAATGGTGTACCAATGATATTATGGCAAAACAAGCTAACAAGTACTGCCAAATTATATTAAATCTATTTTTTATCTTACCTTTCGGTACTAAATTTTCCAGGATCAGAATAGCATCCATGTCAGGCTTATCTGTTTCTCCTGCCAAATTTAATCTACCTCCTGCATAATCTGGATAAAACGAAGGTGGTGGTAAACCATGTTTTTTATGGAAATTTTTTATAGGGGGAACAATATCTGTGTAAAAAATTACCTCATTTTTCGTCAAATTATATGTGGGGCCAAAAAATTCATTTTCCACACATAATTTTGCCACTAATGATAAATCTTCATGGTTATTAGTATCTTTGTCTTGTAATACTACATCAATTTTAATTATCTCACTTAAATAGTTTTCTCCAGGTGCCGTTAAATTGCTGACTTTTGTATCCACCACACTTTTATTGGGACCAATATAGTCCCTGATTAGTTCTTCAAAATTTTTAATCTTCTCCATTGATATCACGTTACAAGTCGTATGAGTTTTTACCTAATATTACTATAATATTACAATTAATCCCATTTTAAATATACCTACTTATCATAATATTATCAAAAGTAAAGCACAGGTACGGTTTTAGAAATTTTAGAAACTAAATAAATCATAATTAACTCTGGCCTAGTTTGAAAGATGGCCAATTCCTTCAGATTCAGATGTACCCTTGGTTACAAAATTGGTCAGTTCTCAAATATGTTGGTGATAAAAACAGCTATCTCCACAAAACACCAATCAGATGGCTTCATTCTGTCACGTGACCTCACTGCCTCAAGTGAAACAGAAGAGAGCAGTGAACTGACCTATTCTGGTGTCTTATGACTGGCGATGTTTTATTGTTTAGTATTTTAGAGTTTGACTAACATACTGAAAAGATATTATTATAATAAACTTGCAGAAATAACATGAAAGGAACTAATGTTAAAGAACCTCATTTGTTGAAAGGAAGAAAGAAACTACAAAATCCTTCAAATTGGAAAAGAGCCAAACAGAGGATTTTGAGGTTAGTATTAAACCGTAACCTAACATTGAATAAACTAATAGACAAACTTAAATAACATTCATTCAAACATACTATTACTTAGGCCTATGCCTAGTTATTAGAATGAGAATGAACCAGTTTCTAGTACGCCTAACCTATGCACACTTAACATTATTTTTACTGTTTTTTAAATTATGTCATAATAAAATAAGTTCCCCTGCAAGATATAAATAGGTTTCATAGTGTATTTTACTCCGAGAAGACAGAAGTCGGCCAAGATGCTTTTATTAGAGTATTGCACAGCAGAGCAACCCAAAAGAACCAGACCAGGAGACGGATCAAGAGAACTAAGCTTAACCTACCCATATTGTATCGAAACAATAGCAGGACATAGATTTGAGATATGTAAGAATGCGTTTTTTAATGTATTGAGAATCACAAAATAAAGAGTTAAAGGTGTTTTCACAAAATTTCAAAAAGACGGATATCTCATCCCAGTTGAAACGTAAGGTGGTTATAGGAAGGCTAACACATATCAGAAACAAATTGATTCTGTAATACATTTTGTAAAGCAGTTAAAAAAAAACAGAATTACATTAAAATAAAGCAAGGAGTACTACTTGTATTTATCTTGATTTCACCCTGTCTATTTCTAAAATGTGAAATATGTACAAAGAATCAGTTGTTGATAAATTTAAAGAGTCTTTTTTCGACACATATTTGTAACTAGGTTCAACATTAGCTTTAAAAGTCAGAAGCTAAAAACTGTGTTAAAGACCCAACAAATCTTCATTTCAAAATTTCACAATTCAAAAAATTAATTCTGACCAAGAAACAAAAGTCAGTAAAATCCACAAGAAAACTAAGTTCGTATAGCTGGCTGTATACCATGTATCATAAAAAAATTATCAAAATCCTTTATAAAATCTATATAATTAAAAAACCCAGTCGGGCTATATCACAACAAAAAAACGTTTTCGGAACTCATATTCCATCATCCGTGTCCTAAAAAGTATATAACCACTTTAATAAAAAATAACGTGAAATTTAAATTTTGACCAAGGTTAATACAAAATGTGGTTAATACTGACTAGGTGAGGAATTCTACAAAAATTCACACCTTAACTGGAGCCAAATATGGTGATATTGCAATTTGCTGCCCTTACCCCGCAGTAACAATTTTTTTTTGTAGATTGATACCAAAAACATGATTTCAGATGCTAGCCTCAAAAAAAAAGGCAAATTTAAGTTTTTTCCAATAAAAAACTGATTTGTTCGCTAAAGCTATTTCATTCTTCTAGCGATCTGCCTCCAAAGACGAGTGAGACTTCTATACTTGGAGCAGACGTACATATCAGGTACCAATCGCTTCGTCTTGGTCTCCAGAAGGAACTCTTTGAAGAGTCAAGAAACACCTGCTTAAAGCGTGGCAAACGGTTATTTAGTCCCTAAAATCGACGTTTTTTTCATTTTTCGCAATTTTATCCGAAAATAGATTAAAAGATACCTCTATATTTGAAGCACACATACATATTAGATACCAATCGCTTCGTCTTAATACCCAGAATGAACTCTGACACTTTGAAGAACCAAAAAGAAAAGTTCAAAGCGTGGCAAACGGTTGTTCAGTCCCTAAAATCGACGTTTATTTCATTTTATCGCGATTTTATCCGAAAATAAATTAAAAGAGACCTGTACTGTTGGAGCACACGTACATATTAGGTACCAATCACTTCGCCTGGATCCTCAGAATGAATTCTGATCCTTTAAGAGCCAAGAAACACCTGCTCAAAGCGTCGCAAGCGATTATTCAGTCACTAAAATCGACGTTTTTTTTTTAATTTTTTCGCGATTTTACCCGAAAATAGATTAAAAGATACCTCTATAGTTGGAGCACACGTACATATATCAGGTACCAATCGTTTCGACTTGGTCCCCAGAAGGAACTCTGACCCTTTGAAGAACCAAGAAACACCTGCTCAAAGCGTGGCAAGCGGTTATTCAGTCCCTAAAATCAACGTTTTTTTTTTCATTTTTTTGCGATTTTACCAGAAAATCAAGTTAAAATGGCTTTCATTCGACAACTGAGTTTTTCAAACGCGATTGGATCGTAGTTATTTATGATAAGTGGTACGCAGGGGTAGTTGAAGAGGTAAACAATGTAACAAAATTTCTGTCAACTACAAAAAATGGCTTTTGTTTTCTGAATCGACCAGAGCATACACAAAACGTTTTATCAACTCAAGTTTTATGTAAAATAGAATCGCCAGAACTAACTAAATTAAGAAATAAAATAATGTACAATATCAGTGAAAATCAGAAAAAAATGATTGAAATCTAATGTAAAAAATACTATAATTATATGATATATTTGGTATAATTTATATAATTAATATAAATTCTTTTTAACTCAAAAACAGTATTAAAATTGTGTTTATTTCATATTATTCGTGCTTTAATATGTATTGTTTCTGTTAAACACAAGATTATTTAATATTATATGCCAAGTTTTTTTTTGTAGTGTTTAATTAATGAAAAATACATATATTTATAACATTATACTTATCAATATTAAAAAATTTAGAATATTTTTGATGTATTGTATTCTATGTATTTATTTTTTTTACTTGACTAACTTTTATGTCGTTCTAATACTCATACTAACAAAAACAAAACAAAAAGTTTGTTATAAAAAAAAAAAGAAAAAAAATTGAATCGTATTTTCTTACTTAAAACATGATAAATTAATATGTGAAGGTTTTCAGCTATATTACAATTTACTATATAAAATTTGATGACGGATCAGGCTACATACTGAGGATCACGTAAACAGCTTTCGATAGGTAGATGAACCTCACTTACTGAAGTCATTTTAACTTGATTTTCCGGTAAAATCACGACAAAATGAAAAAAAACGTCGATTTTAGGGACTGAGTAACTGTTTGCCACGCTTTAAGCTTTTTTTTTGTTCTTCAAATTTTGTTCAGAGTTCATTCTGGGGACCAAGACGAAGCGATTGGTAACTAATATGTATGTGTGCTCCAACTAGAGAGGTATCTTTTAATGTATTTTCGGTTAAAATCGCGAAAAAATAAAAAAAAAATAAGTCGATTTTAGTGACTGAATAACCGCTTTCCACGCTTTAAGCATGTGTTTCTTGGCTCTTCAAAGGGTCAGAATTCATTCTAGGGATCAAGACAAAGCGATTGGTACCTAATATGTAAGTGTGCTCCAACTATAGAGGTGTCTTTTAATCTATTTTCTGATAAAATTGCGAAAAAATAAAAAAAGTCGATTTTAGGGACTGAATAACCGTTTGCCACGCTTTGAGCTTTTTTTGGTTCTTTAAAGGGTCAGAGTTCATTCTGAGGACCAAGACGAAGCTATTGGTACCTAACATGTATATGTTTTTCAGCTATAGAGGTATCTGTTAATCTATTTTCGGGTAAAATCGCGAAAAAATGAAAAAAAAAAACGTCGATTTTAGTGACTGAATAACCGCTTGCCACTCTTTGAGCAGGTTTTTCTTTGCTCTTCAAAGGGTCAGAGTTCCTTTTGGAGACCAAAACGAAGCGATTGGTATCTGATATGTATGTGTGCTTCAAGTATAGAAGTTTCTTTCACTCATTTTTCGAGGAAGATCGCTAGAAGAATGAAATAGCTTTAGCGAACAAATCAGTTTTTTGTTGGAAAAAAATTTCCTTTTTTTTGAGGCTCGCACCTGAAAACGGGTTGTTTGGTATTAACATACAGAAAAAAATTGTTACTACGGGGAACGGGCAGTACATTGCAATATCACCATATTTGGCTCCAGTTAAGGTGCGAATTTTTATAGAATTCCTCAGGTGTACATGTTTTGAGCCACTAAATATCTGGGTGAAAACCCGTTAAAAGTTATAGATTTCAATTTATTAGTTATATATAAAGTTATCAGTGGATTTCATAACATGGCAACATGAGACTCATGAAGTTGCTGGTCCTGAGACAAAGTGTCTACGAGGACTTGATAGCAACTGATTGAAATAATAATATTGACATGTTAGGACGGAAGTCCGAACAAAGCAATTAGTGTAACTTAAGGTTTGTCTAAATATGAAAAAAGCCAGCATTATTTAAAAATTGAAAAAGTTAAAATTAAAATTAAAATCATATAACAGTAGCAACCATCAATGTTGTAGTTCTAATTGTAAATTTGTCCTGAATTTACGTTAGGATCATGGAGAAAATTGTTGTATTGATTAATGTATGTAGAATGAATTGTGGTGAAAAATTGTTTGGGTACTAATAGGCAAACAACTATACATAAATGTAACATAAGTGTTGTGGAATAAAGATTCTACCGAAAGGCCCTTTATGTTTTGCAACAAGTAGTACCTGGAAAATGAAAAAAAAAACATATATGGGAAGTTAGATTCTTGAAACTTTATTGATGATGGGTGAAATTAGAAATAATATATTGGAAAGTGCTATTGAGATGAAGTGTGAATAGAATAAATTACTTTTAAAATGTAATGTTTATGTAGTATCTAGAACTTAGGCATGAATAGCCCTGTGTGTTTAATAACAACATTTGGTACCTG